TTATTTTAGTCAAAGAATATTATATTCTACAATCGTATATATTTTGCTAGGTACATCACGTACAAATAGTAATATAATGAACTAAATTTAGTTATATTTTTAATAATTTTCATACACTACATAAAGAGCTTCCACCTTTTATAATTTCAGTCAAGTGAAAACAAATAAAACTAGTAGATTTATATATCAATATTACATCTATTACTAAAAAAAAAACATTCAGTAAGTAAAATTGGTTATACATTCATATGTAACACAGATATTGATACAAAAATTATTAAACATTGGAACTTATCTACTTAATGTTTTGCGATCAGAACTACTATATCATACTAATTTTTATCAGTAGTTAACATTAAATTCTTACTTCTTATTATAATGACATTATATATATTGATTTTTTTCGAATACACATTTATATGTATGTATTACAATGTTATATATACTAATAATAAAAACATTAAGCATTGAAAATCTTGCAATCTAGTAAATACCTTTTTATTTCAATGTAATCTGCTCTACTTGCTTATGAGAGAAGATGCAGCTACTACCAAACACTCTGTGTAATAAACAAATGCAAATATATTACGAATTTAATAAAAATCAACATTATAGATTAATAATTGACACATATGTATTGAAATTTGTAAATCCTTTCACATAAAACTACAGATATGTGTGTGACGTCTTTTGTTACAAAAGTGTAAACAATTATAATCTAAATTTTCTTTAAAATAAATTATTTCTTTTGAAAAAAATAATATAGAAATAAAAATCTATTCGAGTTATTATACGCTTGCATTATGTTCAAGTAATCACAAGAGCAAACCTACAACGACGCGTGAGATTCTGAAAAACATCTGATGGCTTTATCAAGATTATGATTATTTGCAAATAAAAGATATCAAATAAGAGAAAATTTGTACGTCGGCTTGATTTTACTTCACGGCATCGACGAATAATCGATCGAGAAATTACATGATTGCGCCAATTTTTATAATTTCCACACATTCGATTTAGTATAAAGTGTAGTGTGAGTATTCGCTTCGATTGTTTTTGACTTTTGCATGTGTATTGCACTGCGATTCTAGAGTCGCGTGACAATAAAATATAAAGCAGAAATTAAAATTCACAATTTGACTACTGGTGCACTTTTCTGAATTTATCATAATATTTGTTATAACAAGTGCTGTTTTGACTTTATATCCTTAGAGTGTTTGGTTACATAGTTATCGCGTTTTAAAGAATATGACTAAGTGTCACTATGCAATAAACTAAAAATTTCGTACGTGACACTTCTGTAATTATACAGGAGTGACGACGTGGTCTCGTGTACATAGCACGGAATAGAACCATGGCAACGTAGGTGCCAATTTCCACCACTGTGGACATCGCGCTAGCTTACAAAACGAAAATGCAACTCCATGGTGTAAGTAAAGCCTCCTGCACAATGGAAGAAATAGCGATAGCGATAAAAATAACACCAGTTTTAAAGAGTTTATATCTATAAATAACGGAAGGAACAGCGAAATCTTACATACAAAAATACACGTATATCAATGCAGATCAGATAACGGAATAAGCAATAGCAATAAAATTTTCAACGAGTTGGAGTTTTGTGGTTGTGTTCAGTTAAGCAAGAGGGAACGAACAAATGCAGGAAATGCAGGAAATACAGGAACTGAAATGCAGGAATAGCAGGAATTGAAAGAAGTCGAGAAAGTGCAGACAATTGTCTGCTACTACGCATGCTCCACAACAAATCGGGAAGACACCTTCTCATTTTTTCGTTTGCACTTTCTTTACTTCTTTCAATTCCTGTATTTCCTGCATTTCCTGCATTTGTTCGTTTCTTCTTGCTTAACTGGACACAGCCCAGAACCGGACGAAATTGTGCTCCAGAACCTGTATACTAACACCATGAGGCAATTCCACATTCTCTTATGGATTGCTCTCAGTCTTCTTTCTGTTAGTAATAACAACAGTTGTATTGACCGCTGAGTATCCTCACAGTTTGTGGTTCTAAAGGTATCCCGTTGCAAAACATCTCAAATCAGCAAAGAGAAACGCCGCGTAGTAAATCCTTAAACCTATCTTATGATTTTTGATTGAATATTTTTGATTCAGAGAGAATAAGGGAAAAAAGTGGTTCGAGTCTTGGATAAAACAGTTTATTTAGCGAAGATACGAAGTCTCTTCATCTCCATCTAATCTGTTCTACTTGCTTAGGAGAAGTGACATGCTTATTACAAGTATAAATATTATTGTAATATATAAACAAACATCTGTATTTTATAACAATATATTGTCAGTACAGTAACAATTAAAATCTGAAGTCTGTTAATGTTAGCTGATCAAAAATAATTTGATTTGCGAAAGATTGAGCAGACTTTTCTGTTTCATTATATATATACATATTCATTATATACGTATAAATAACAACATTTACATTACTTATTAGATGTATATCTGTCTTTATTCATAACATCTATGTACTACTAATGTTAAACTTTGTGACTAGAATATATATACATATATGTATATATTTATATATGTACATTGTACATAACGTATATATAATGTACGCATATATAATAATATGTATATATATAATAATAATATAATAATATATACATATATAACATATATGTAGTATATATATTATAATATATGTATATATATATATTATTAATTACAGTTACATATTTATATCTTACATATTTACATTTTACATATTTACATTTTACATGTACATATGTATTCAGGGTATTCGACAAATGGTGTAACATCTTTCGAAGGCAGATAGATTGAATAAAACTGAGTCAAAAAGTCCATTTTGCGAAAGTTGCAATAATTACCGAGATCTTGATTAATAAAGATCTCGATGACTATTGCGAATCTTTCAAAATAATATAAGATTTTTCGACTCAGTTTTACTTTTTCTACCTGCCTACGAGAGATGTTAAAGTAAGTGTCGGACACCATGTATGTACATAAATATATCAGTTAAGTAAAAAATAATCTGAGAATGCAAAACAAAGTAGAGTAAAAAGAAGTAAGAAGCATTAGAGCCAGTCTGCAATGAAGGTAGTACGGCTGTAGGAGTAAACTATTTTTCGGTGAAATAACAACAAAAAAAAAAACAAAATGGGCAATTCCCATTTCGCACTGCCTACTGTCTTACTATTAGCCAATAAAAGACGCGTGTTAGAAAACGCGAAATAATTACTTGTATAGACAAAAATGAAATAACTCCAAGAACTTTACTTTTACAGCATTACTACCTTTATTGTAGACGTCCCTTTAAATATGAATCTCATATAACCTCAATGAACTTTTTAGAATACTACAAGGTGTCTTCAAACATGTACTTCTCAAAAAATATTATCAAGCAAATTTCAAATATTTTAACTTCAGACTACAGTCAATAACGCATGTACTGAAATCTAAGTAAAAGTAATCGTCAAATGTGGCGATTTCTTTTGTCGACCGTACATCTTGTGTCATTCTATTTTATGTTATATTGAACTAAATAATTATTATGGCAATATCCTGTCAAGCTCGTCATTAGTTCAGAATGGTTATATTTTCAGTCTTTATAATGCTTATACTAAGTACGGATTAGAAATGCGCTCGTGACTCTCCATACAGACGATGTCAAATTACACAGTAACACTCTGAAATAATTACAGAGTGTTTTTAGTATATTTTATTTATAAAACAAATCTCCATACAAAAGCGGTTAGTACTATTTATAAATATTTTTACAATTTTCTTACCGGAAACAAGTATTACACGTTGTATGTTTTGCAACACTCCATAATGTGAAGTTTTAATGCATCCGCTGATGGGAATTTTCGTGTACAGAAGACACATTCAAATGATCCCTTTGACAAAGAAGAAAATAAGTATATTGTACAGTTCCATTACAACCGACGATCAAATTTGTTTTACTGACAAAAAATAACTTTCAGCAATTTCTTTGTATAATAAGTACTGCTTTCGTCGTCTTATATCATTAACAAATTCAAAAAACTTACTTTTTCGCATTCATTTTTTTTATCATCACATATTTTTCTATCAGTGGTAGTTATTTGTTTTGTTTCAATGTCCGTTATATCTTTGTCATTGGATCGACAAATCTTCGACGGAGGAGGAGACGTCTCCTAAAACACACATTACACAAGTATTATACTAAAGTAATTATCATGACAGAATGACAGAAAATGATTGTGGTACAACAATCTATTCGTCAGAGCGTACATAGTTTTCATAATAAAATTCATAAGATAATTTTATTACTTACCGGAGTGAATGTAGATGTTGTGGCACGATCCTTTTCAGTATCAGTGTCTAATACTCGTTTTCTTAAAGACTTCTGTTGTTCTTGATGTTCCTTCTCTTTACTCTCTTTTGGCGGTGATGGCTTAGAAGGAGAAGAAAGACATATCTAAAATGCATTACATAATATCTTGCAAATGAAAAGGCGGAAAAGTAAGACGACGAGAAAAAATGGCGATTCACTATTTATTACATCAGTTTTTCCACTGATTCTGTTTTCAAAAATTTTATATTTTCCAAAAGCTTACCAGTGTTATTCTTGGAGGCCAGTCCTCACCCAACATTTGCTTAAAATTTCTGTACATTTGTTCCTATGTTCCATGATATTCAAAGATAAAGTGTTTTAAAAACAAACAATACTATTATACATATCTATTATATTGCACAATAGCTTATTATAAAATACGTTACTGTAATAAAAAAAACAACTTTGTGCAAATAATTTACTAAAACATCGCTTCTATCGTAAAATATTTTTAAACTACTCACTACTATTTTTCCCGTTAGATACACTTTGCATTTTTTCCTGTGTCCAAAAGCTTCTTCCACGCTATACAATTTCTGACGACAATAATAACATTCTCCCATCTTTAAAAATAACAGAAACATTACTTATGTATATTTCGCAAAAGCTAATACAAAGTAGAACAATAATAATCGATCTCAGCAGAGAACATCTGGTATCACATCATGATTTGTTCATCTAATAGTTTCTCAGAAAAGCTTACCGAGTTTGGTTTGGGCACTATTCTATTCTTAATCTCAGCAACAAGTTTGCTAACGTGTTTGAGCTCAGTGTTCTGTGATTAATAAAAAAATATATATAAGTGTGTGTTTCAAGAAGATAAGAAAAAGTACACAACTATATTCCGCAAAAATCAAATACGATGTATGTTATAGTGACGGAAAACGATTTTTACAGTGCACCTTCTGTTATCAGAATAGCTTCCGTCACCGTAAAATAATTTTGAAACACGTACCATTGAAATTCTGAATTGAATGTCGCACTTATCTCCATGCTTAACGAGTTCTTCTGCAGTCATGAAATTCGTTTTACAGTATTTACAGTCATATGATTTCGAAGACTTTTCCTACGAGTATTTAAATATAATTCGCAAAAAACATTAAACACTTCGGTTCAAGCGACAGAAAATAATCTTAATTCATGTTATTTTCACTACGTTTATCAATTCGGAATTATTTTCAAACACTTACCGGTTGCGGCGATTGTACACTTTTGTCACATTTTTCAATGAGAACGATGAGTTCTTGCTCTTTATTAACCTCCAGTGAACAATTACTAGTGTCCATCTTCAAAAATAAAAATAATAAGTAATAAACTTCTGCACACTGGACAAAAGACGAGTAGCAAATGCGTTAAAGTGATCGAAAGTAAATTTTACAACACCCCTTTCCTTTTCCCTTATCCTCTCTGAATCAAAAATATTCAATCAGAAATCATAAGATAGGTTTAAGAATTTTGTACGTGGCGTTTCTCTTTGCTGATCTGAGATGTTTTGCAACGCGATACCTATAGAACCAAAAACTTTGAGGACACTCAGCGGTCAATACAACTGTTGTTATTACTAGCAGAAAGAAGACAGAGAGCAACCCATAAGAGAATGTGGAATTGCCTCATGGTGTTAGTATACAGGTTCTGGAGCACAATTTCGTCCGGTTCTGCGCAACTCCGAAGCGCCTTTATTTTTAAATATCGATACATGATAATCGATATACTATCGATATAATCGTCATACATCAGTCTAAAATTACACCATGATTACTTACACTATAAAATTGCTTTTCCGTCTTGTAAACTAGCGCGATGTCCACAGTGGTGCAAAGTGGCAACTACGTAGCCATGGTTCTATTCCGTGCTATGTACACGAGACCACGTCGTCACTCCTGTATAATTACATACGTGTCACATACGGAATTTTCAATTTATTGCATAGTGACACTTAGTCATATTCTTTAAAATGCGTTAACTATGTAACCAAACACTCTAAGGATATAAAGCCAAAAGAGCACTTGCTATAACAAATATTATGATAAATTCAGAAAAGTGCACCAGTAGCCAAATTGTGTATTCTAATTTCTGCTTTATATTTTATTGTCACGCGACTCTAGAATCGCAGTGCAATACAGATGCAAAAGTCAAAAACAATCGAAGCGAATACTCACACTACACTTTATACTAAATCGAATGTGTGGAAATTATAAAAATTTGCGCAATCATATAATTTCTCGATCGATTATTCGTCGATGCCGTGAAGTCAAATCAAGCCGACGTACAAATATTCTTATTTGCTATCTTTTATTTGCAAATAATCATAATCTTGATACAGCCATCACATGTTTTTCAGAATCTCACGCGTCGTTGTAGGTTTGCTTTTGTGATTACTTGAATATAATGCAAGCGTATAATAACTCGAATAAATTTTTAATTCTATATTATATTTTTCAAAAGAAAAAATTTAATTTAAAGGAAATTTAGATTATAATTGTTTACAATTGATGTAACAAGAGACGTCACACACATATCTGTAAGTTTATGTGAGAGGATTTACAAATTTCCATATATATGTAACAAATATTAAGTTATAATGGTGATTTTTATTAAATTCGTAATATATTTGCATTTGTTTATTACACAGAGTGTTTGGTAGTAGCTGCATCTTCTCTCATAAGCAAGTAGAGCAGATTACATTGAA